TAATTATATAGTGTAACCAAAAGAATTCTTTTAACGAAACCAGACTATGCCCGAAACATAGCTGTTGGCTTAGAAGCGAATTCCAGAATTCCGTAAAACAGTTAAAATAGAGCTCGTAATGGACGTATTATACCAAAGTAAAATGAGTTTACAAAACTGAACGACAAAGCAGACTAAAAGATAAACAAGAGGCAAACGGAAACGTACATATATATACACAGATATATACATATATCTGTATATATGTATATATACGACTTTTTTTTAATTTCTATTTTTTGTCTTGAGAAACAAACTCCTAATTTGTTAATACGAATTGTTAATGAATTTATTTTTTAAATGATTAATTAAGCAACAAGCAACATAATAATTAAATGAAAATTATAGTGGAAAAATTATATACACATAATAATAATAGTAATAAAACGAAAAAAATTTAAAAGCAACTATTTAAAATAAACATAAATATGAGAATTAACTATGTCCTCTTTTTTTAAGATATGCCCAACATATGTGGGCTGAGATTTTGTGAACACATTTTAGGGCCAATTCTGCTTGAAATTCTTTGGGCTATATTGTGTAGAGCTCTTCGTCTGTTTCAGCGGACTTTTACAAAGAAATCTGCCAGCCCAGAGTGGACCCAATTGCGCCTAAACCCAACTTTCAGCTCATGGCCAATAAGCTAAACATTTCAATTCTACTGAAAATATTGCAAGCCATAAAAAGTTTCAAAGAGCAGCTGGGGGCTAAATTTGATCTCCATCCAAAATTGAGAGCTACCAAATATGTTTAGATAAAAGACAATAAAAACAGGCGTTGATATTGTCCTTGGTTTAGATAAACCCAATGGTTGGGGCCTAATTTGTTGATGCTTTGAGCCCGAGTCTTGCCCAAATAGTTTTTTCTATTGAAACAAATTTATACCCAGAACCCATTGAAAATGGTTAAAATGGTGTAAAGTGTATTTGTGCAAATGTATTTAACAGACAGGAGGAAGCACAAGAATATATTTTCATGATCAGCATCAATAGCCGAGTCGATCTAACCATGTCCGTCTATCTGTCCGTCTATCTGCCCGCCTGTTCGTCCGTCCGTATGTATGAACGCAAGGATCTCAGAACCTATAAGAGCTGGAGACTTGAAATTTACAACGTAGGTTCTCCTAGCAACGATAATCGATAGCTTGTCGCGTTTCCAAGCAATCGATAAACATCGATACCGAAATCCTGATTGTAAGATTATGTCTATCAAATATCTTAAGTATTTTATAGCATAGAAGAGCGTTCAGGGTATCCCCAAGTCGGCAACTCCCGACTAGAGTCCCTTGCTTGTTAAAAAAAAGAAATGGTTCGGTTCGAGTTGCTGTTCAGTTGTCTTTTGGGCAGCTAATTGGGTTTGAGGTCGGGTTCATATTAAAAAGTTAGATAAGTGGGAAATGGATAAACTAGATATAAATTTATAAGGTATTTCTATAAGCGTGAACTTTGCTTTAGAAATTCATATTAAAACCATAGAATATATTTATTTTCGAGGTTTGTCCGTTGCACGCTGTAAACCAAAAAACCAATATACTCTTGTTCAACTTGCGAAGGAGGTATAATAAGGAAATAATTTCAATATTTGTAGCAGACCCTGGAATGCAATTAATAAATTTCTGCCAATTCATTTAGATTTATTTATTTCTCTCTATATTTGTTTCTCACGTTTGTATCTTTTACGCATATACACATATGTATACATATACATATATACATATATATACATGCTCTCTTGCCATATACACATATATGTATGTCCGGTATGCCAATTACTTGGTTTACAATATATGCTTAGGGATTTACATGTATGCATATCTCATCTCTGCGAATTGTTTGCCAAAATGAATAAATTTTTATTTATATTTTGTTTAATATTTTTTTTTGGTTTTTTGCATGCCTTTTTTTTTTGGGTAGAATTCATTTCATAAATGTTAATGCTTTTTTCACATACATATAGCTACAGATGTATATACTTAAATACATATACATGCGTATATGTATATATTAGTATATATGTACATTTAATGGGTTATTCGAGAGACAGAGACGAGCGAAAAAAATACCTATAAACTTGTTATGTAATATGGGTAGCCCATTCAGGTTTTTTTTTTTTTTGTTTTGTTTTTAATTTTTTTCTTTTTATAAATACTTTTGACTTATGTAAACGCCCTTCAGTGGAAAGGTTTGCTCTTTTTACTCAACTTTACTCAATTTTATTCAATTTCTTTTTAATTTGTAAGTAATTGTGGTTTTTTTTTTTAATCTTGAATTCAAACTCGTTTTGCAATTGCAATTTTTACCTGGCTATTAACGGTTCAATTCGTTTCTCTAACCTCAAGCGTACTCGTAGTTTGCCTCACAAACCTTTTCCTTAACTATTTTTATGCCATTTTTTTTTTTTGGTATTAACAAATTGATTACCTTTGCCTATATTCCATTTAACATTCGTTTGCCTTTTAATATCAGTTGCGTGTGTGTCTGTGTGTGTGTGAATTTATGTCTGTATGCATGTATACTGTGTGTGTGCGTCTGTATTTGTGTGTGTATTTGTGTGCGTGTGTCTGTGTTGAGTTCTCTTGTTGATCTTGTATATAATTGTAAAAATTTAAAAAAAAAATGTCTAACTGCTTCCATGTAACGCCAGCGTTACATTTATATATATATATAATATATATATACACACATATCTATATATATATATACATATATTATATAATATATATATCATATCTCTGCTAGTTTTCTTGCTCTCGTATATATCTTTTTCTTTTTGTAATTTTGCCCGAATTGCCAGGCTCATCTTTTGCCACATTTCCATGCGTTTTCCTTCTTCTATTTTAGTTTTTTTTTTATTATTTTATATGTATTATTATTAATATTTTTTCTTAACAACCGTCGCCTGCGCACATTTTCAATTTTTCCATTTGAGTTTTGTTTTTGGTGTTTTACATTTCATTTAAGTACAAAACTTGCCTTGCCTTTTAGTAAATACATTTTCCTGTGACTTTTTCCCTTTTTGATAGATACATTTCAATGCCCTTCTTTTGGCTTCTTCGCATAACCATATATATATATACATATATATATATTCTTATTCATTTTAATCTAAACATACATATACACAATGTATGTATGTATTTTTTATTTGCAGTTCACAAAAAAAAAATACGCTGTGATTAACAGCTCTCAGCACAACAATCCAATAAATATTTTCCAACATTTTTCGCATAGCTTTCGAAAAAAAAAATTCTTTGGCCAACCTGTGCTCTAATGCTGATCTATCCGTACTATAACATCTATAATTATGGGACGTAGCTTACTAGCAAAAAAAAAAGGACTTTTATGTATATAATACTACACGCATATGTATATATTATTATATATATATTTATGTATATACACTGATATACTTGACGGCATGCCCTTTTAATTCACGACGTTTTTTAGGTGAAATGGATCTTGACTTTATATGTATATAAACTAAACGATGCTGCAATTTCAGTCGAAACTGGGCAAAAACTGGGCCACAGCCATCGAAATTGAGATAGATAGATAGTTAGATAGATAGTTAGATAGATGCCTGTGCACATATCGAGAGCCAGAGTTCGAGTAGGAGATGGAGGGGAAGATGGAAAAAGAAGACAGTAGATAATCCTACTCGTAGTTGCCAAGAGCCTTGTATATTGGCATATTACTAATAGGTATATGTTATGAAAAAAATAGAAATAAAATATATATATCTGGATATTTATATATATATATATTTTATTTAAATTTTGTCTCTTTTTTTTCTCTTTTCGTTTGTTTTTTTTTTTTTGTCTGCTTTTTCGTTTTTATATTATATTTTAATATAAATTTAGTTTTAAGTTTATGAATTGCTTTTGGTTTACCAATGCGAGATTTGATGTCAATGACATTTATCGGGTTAAGTGCTAAGATGCATAACATATATATATGCGTATATATATGCATATACATTCACATATACATATATATATGCACATATAGACTATGCATATGTATATATATTAAATTCATCAATTACAGGGACACATATGGTTAGATACATACATATAAGTAACTGTATACATAATACGTAACGGCATAAGCAATTATAATATATATTTATATATATATATATATATCTTTATAGTATATACCTATACACGTACAATGTATATGCATATGGTATAGTGTGTGTAAATACATTGTAAATTACTTATGCCCGTAGCTATACATAAATGTAAATATATCAATGTGTATCTGTAACTGGTATCTGTATCTATCAGATATCAGAAGTGATGTGTGTAGCTGTGTGTAGAGTTCATTGCCAGCCTGTCTGCGTGTGTGTGTGTGTGTGTGTGTGTGTGTGTGTGCTGTAAGTGTAAGCATACATGTGAATATATTTATATTTAAAAGGTTGTCATTGTTGTTATTACACACATTCTCACTAACATGGCGATTATTTGGAGTGTAGTTCGAACCAATTACAAAACATTACTGAATAATTTACTAAATATATATATATATATATATATATATTTATACATATATATTTTAGTAATATTGTAGGTATGCATGTACATCGATATATAATTTAATATAATTAACTGTTATCTCTGTTTTCTTTAGGTATATATATATATATATATGTTTTTGTTTTTGTTTTTGTTGGAGAAAAAAGTCATTTCGTTTTTGTTGGTTTCATTTATTTGTAATTTTCATTTCACTCAATTGTTAAAGTAGCTTTCAGTTTTTGCCATGGACTGCGCCCTGCTTTCAACTATTGTTTGTATATATCTCTTTTTGTTTAATTTGAATTTTTGTTTGTTTATTATTTGAATTAATTGCAGAATTACTCATTAATTTCAAAAGTAAATCTGAAGCGCACATTTACAATGCTGCTTAAGTTGCTATTAACATTTTTTAATATTATTATTTTGTTTATCGACTTTGCATTTGGTTGTTGTTGTTGTTTTTGTTGTTGTTTTGGTTTTTAACTAACAGTTTTACAGTGTTTTCTTCTTCTTCTCGTTCTCATCGAACTCGACTCCAAATTTTTCTGTTACAACAATTTACTCAACACGCTCTGCTCATTATTAAACAATATACATTTTTACTTTAATGTACATATAATATATATATATATATTTATATATATATAATTTTTGTATTTTGGATAGTGCATAATAATTTTAATGATATTTTTAGACCATCAAGGTTCGTTCATTTCATCTTTATTTTATGTATATATATATGTATGTATAATTTTATGTAGATATTTAAAAAAAAAATAAAACACAATTTCACGGATCCTGCCCGATAAAACACAAAATAAAAATATATATATATATAGCATATACATATATATGTATGTGTGTGTGTCTATATGTGTGTGGGTTAAATATATATAGTTTTGTATATTAAAAAAAAAAATAAAATAAATTAATAACAATAAACGTAATAAATTATGCGCTTTTTAGTTTGGCCTGCCACACTTTCAATCAATCACGCGCCAGCGTGAGCTTGTGACTAAATATATATATATATATATATAGATATATATTGCATAGATTGCTTTATATACATGATGTATGTATTCATGTATGCATAGTTGTATTTGTATGGTATATAGCCAATGACTTTTTCTTACATTTTTCTTTTGTTTTTTTGGTTTTTCGCTTTCAATTAAGAATTTGCTAGTGCTTGTGCTTGAAAAGTCTTTAGTTTTACTTTGTTTGTTGTTGTTGTAAACTGTGGCCCAAAAAGCATCGTAAGTCCATTAAATCAATCAAATGAAATTAAATCAATCAAAATGTATAAATTCGTGTGGCGTTCGTAGGACAACATTTGGCAGCTGCGCTTTTATCATACACAGACCGAATTTTCTTTGCTTTCAGTTAGTTGATTTAACAGCTCTGTTAACAACTCGGTTAGTGCTACTGTTACACGTTAGTTCTACTGTTACTGTTACTTTTACTGTTACTCATTCTGTTTGTCTACTACTAAAATAATATTTTGCGAAGACAGCGTTTTACTTGGAAGCAACATAAATCAAATATTTCTTTAGCTAGTTGTACAAAATATGTTTGTTTGTTTTTATGTTTTTTTTTGTTGCTTTTGGTTTTGTTTTTGTTTTTTTTTTGTTTAATTTTGTTTTTGTTTTTTTTTTTGTTACAAGCAAATTAAACATGTGTTCTTTTCTTTTTGGCTTTGTTTATGTTTTCTTTCTTTTTTTCTTATTTTTTTAACATTTTGTTTTTAGCTGCAAGCATTTGCTGCTTTATTTTAAATTCGAGTCCAACATTTAAATTATGTACAAATATTAAAAAAAAAAAAACAACGTATTATATTTATGTATATATATATATAAATATGTATGATTACATACGTATGTATGTATATAGTACTTTACAACCGCAGTCCAAGCTGCAGACTGTACATATATGTTTTTGGGCTTAATTTCTTTCATTTTAGCTTCAATTAAGTTAGTTTTGTGTGTTTTCAATTTAGTTTAATTCACTGGTTTGTTTTTTTTTGTTTTTTTTTTTTTTTGCATTTTTTAGGCGGGGTAGAGGGAAGGTTCACAGTATGTTTTGTATAGATCTAATTGCAGTTTGGGTTTGATATTGTTTTTTGTTTTTGTTTTTTTCTTGTTTTTGTCGCCTTTCAATAAATTAAGTTTCAAATGTCACGTTCATTTTGTTTGTTTGTTTGTTTTTAAATTAATTATGTACGTTTTTAAATTTTAGCATGCACAATAATTTTCTTTTTTTTTGTTGAGCTTGAAGCGTTGTTCAGTTAGAAATTAGCTTAAAAAAAACTTAATAGTTAACTTGTTATTTGTTGTTGTTCTTGCTCTAGTTGCCTTCCTGGCCTTGGTTTGTCAATATAATAAAATGTAATAAAAACAACAAATTGTTGACTTAAGCTACGCAATGAATATTAAATTTAACAGAAATTTGTTTGCTTTCTTTATCTTCTTTTTTTTTTTGTTGCATGTTAAAAACTAAAGTTCGCTTGCTTAATAATTAGTTAAAAAAAAAAAATTTTAATAAAAGTTCAAATAAAATATTGCAACAATAAACGTCTATGGTTGTGCTTTTGGGCATTTTGGGTTATTTTGCTTCTAGCTTTCTTTAAAGCTTTACTTTTGTTTGCGTTTCTCTTTCTTGTTTCTTGTTTCTTTCAGTGCGCTTTTGTCTTGTCTTTAATTTTGGGTAGGCTTTCTGGGAAGGTTTTAAGATTAGTTTAATGTTATGTTAATGCTGTTTTCTTTTTCTATATCTTTTTCTTAGTTTTGCTTGTTGTTGTTTGTTTTCAGTGTATTCCACATCAATCTCATTTTTTTCATTAGGTAAATTTCTAATTTCTTATGCTTTTTGTTTTATGTTTTTTAGTTTTCTTTTTCGTTTTTCTTCACTATAAGTTAAACGGTACTTTTGCTATTGCTGTTTGGTTTTATGCTTTAAACATTTTTTTAATTCTTGCATTTTTTTGCATTTGTTGTATAACTTTGTTTGTTTGTTTTTGTTTTTTGTCGATTTTAGTTTTTCTTAAGTTTTTGGTTGTTTTTGTTTTTAAATTATAGTCACTAACGTATTAGGAAGAAGCTGTGCGCCTTTTCCGAAAACTTGCGATAAATTCCCACGACTCTCCGTCACATTCCACCGTGTTGCGCTTGATTTTGACTCCCTGACGGCTTGCCAGCGCCAGCTGAGCCGCTGCCCGCCGCGCTGGTGGCCGTTGTGCCAGTTGTGGTTGTGGAGCCGGCATCTGCACGGCTCTCGCTCTCGTCGCACTCCTCTAGCTCGGCTAAATTCTCTTGATCGGACTCTTCCAGCGTTACCTGCAAGTTGGCCAGAATGGGAATGGGTTGAGCATGGCGAGAAGGTGGCATCATTAAATGATTTGATGAAATACCTGAAAGCGTATCTTCTCATCCTGGGGCATATCATCGGCTGCCGATGGTGGCGGCGATGGCGGTATCATGCTCTGATAGTAGTCTCTGTTCTCTTCAAGCGTATCAAGTATATCCTGCGCATCTGGATGGACCAGATCGGCCCAGGTCTCCCACAGCGGATGCACAATGTAATCGATGAAGCCCACCTGGGACTTCTCGATGGTCGCATTGTGGCGATCGCACATCGGACTGATGTCCATGCCCGATTCGCGCTCCTTGTCGCCCTGCAGAAAGAACTCCTCCATAAGCAGTGCCACCCAACGCCTATATAGCGACAATGGCTTGGTGGGATTGCTCAGATCAGCGCAGTGCACCAGATTCTCAAGCACCTGTGCACAAAACAAGCAAAGTGTGAGTGTGAGATAGAGACAAAGCGAGTGAGTGAGTGAGAGAGTGAGAGAGAGAGAGAGAGAGCGAGAGAGAGAGAGAGAGGGTTTGTCTTGCCTGTATACGATCTGTGTAGTTGTCCAGCAGCAGAACCCCAGAGCCCGCAACTTTCTTGGTCTCGACCATAGTCTTCAGATCGGCCAGCAGGCTCATGTGCTTGGACATGTCCGTGGAGAGCACAATATCAATAACCATTTTCCTCAATGTTTGGCGCTGTTTCCTAATCAATACACAAAAACAGCAAATTAATATGATACACCGATACCCGTTCGCCTTAGGCAGTACGTACTTTTGCATGTTACAGAATATGTCACATCCTTGATTTTGCAACAACTTGAAGGCAACAGCTAAATGATGATTTTCCAAAACAGATTCGTCATTGTACATTAATGCTAGTTCGGAACCTATACAAAATGGAAGATATTAACGCATATACAAATATATTCAAAGGCATCTCTGCTACTCACTTGAGTTAACCAAGAATTGATTGGTTAAGCCAGGATGATCAACATCGTGTATACAAGCAGCGAACAGCGCCCCGCCCACCTCGAGGGGCGTAAATACACCTTCCAATGCGGGTGTATTCAATAGCACATTTGTGCTCTGTGTCACGTCAGCGGCATGCAGCGAATTGTGAAACGGATTGTCTTTGACATAGTGGTCCTCCAGAGTAGTCATAAAGTTAAGAAAAGTTTTCGGTGGTATCATAAGACTGGTCAGTAATTCTCTACTCTGTAAGCGTCATCATCAGGAGCATGTGAAGATAATAAAAGAAATCACAGCATTAGCTTTTGATACACAAGACAAGAAAATAGGTTTTAGTGTGATCGACTACCAAATACGCTGCAGCTCTCAGTTAATATAATATATTGAATTGAAATTATCGAACCATATAATATAGTCCAAGTACTAATTATCCTAGTACTAAGAGCTGCATTCACTATTCGAAATTTAATGTTGAATAACTTATGTTTATTGTTCGATCTCAATGAAAGGTTCTTCAAGGAAGGGCATTCAGATGTGTGTCGATACCAAAGTACATGGCTCTAGTTTTGAGTTCTCTTTTTAATTTGAGGTTAAATGGGAGCAGGAATACAAAAACTAAAATATTTCCAATCTGTGTATACCATACAAGAGCCTACTTACCAACTTTGGAGTATCTAGCTTTTATAGTTTGTTAGTAAAGCCTAAAAAACCAGGTCTTAAAATCGATATTTATCGATATTTCGGAAATGAGAGGAGATATCGAAAGAAGAAATTCTAAACACGTTTTCCTAGGGCATTGGAGTGTACATATATTCTATTTCAGTCTATAGAAGTAGCTTACACAGAGGGATAGACACACGGAGGGAAAGCAGACGGACGCCCATACGGACCCATATGGGTTCGTACATGGCTGCCTCTTCCTGTTACATACATTTGCACAGAACCAATATACCCCATTTTCAATGGGAGCAGGGCATAAATAAAGAGCTTGCAAGTCTAAACTTTAGACTCTCAACTACCATCAATAGCTTAGCCTCTGCTATAAGGCATTGTGTATTATGTGAAATATCTATGCTTAAAAGTATCTATTTTGAAACTTGGATATTCGATTGGCTGTCTTACCTGAAATATGGTGTATGCCACACAGGTGAGCGGACGATTGCAGCTCAGCTCGCCAATTTTGAATATCTCAATGCCCCACATATCTAGCTCGCCGAGCAGGGTGCCCAGCTCGTTCTCATTGGGCGTCTCCACGCCAAAGGTGGGCAGACGCTCCCCGGTGAAGCTGTTGGTGTGCGACAATGGCCGTTTCACGCCGCTGATCTGTGACATCGGCGGACCGCGCGGCGATCGACTGCGATATGGCTGGTTGATCGGTGCGACCGTGTGTTCTGTGTTTTCTTCGACGCGCAGCGAGGGTAAATCGAACTCTTGTTGCTTGTCTGCAATGGTAAGGAAAAGTACAGAGGTTAGTTGGAAGTACTATAAATTAATATTTGGTACTAGAGAGCGCTACCCGGCTTTGCACGGCTCAAGTATTTCTTTCATCAAGTTCACTTTCCTACCCATCTTTTGCGTCTTGGCTATTTTCAACAACAACAACAATTAAATTTAAACAACAATTATCACTCAGTCAAATAGATATTGGAAAATTAATGTAAATTCCCATTGATAACTATTTTATTTTTTCTTAGTTTTCCTGTTAATATGAAAACAACTTTAATTAAATTTATATACAAATTTATAATACTACTTAGTCCACTATTAAGTCGGGTGACTATATAAAGCGATCTGGGAGATCGATTGGATGAGAACTCCGCAATCTCTTCCGCATTCGGACTCCTCCAATTCTACGCCTCTTTAGAAGGCGCCTACGAAGACGATTTGGATGGTTTCCCAGTCGCATTATGTAGTTTGTCTATATAAATTTTTTAAAGATAGCGCATTGCTACTGTTCAGCAGCCATCTTAATTTGCCTAATCTGCTTTTCAGGGCTCCTGTGATACTTGCGATGTGTTAACTAATGTTCAAGAAAACTCCCGGACATGTATCTCTGCGGAGCGCATAGCTCACATTGGCGCATTTATTTAAATTTATGCCAATGTTCCAACGTTTAGCCCACAAATCAAATTTGTGGAGGTATTGATGCAGGGCATCAGTGGTAGGATGGCAGTGTCATCTGCAAATGTGGCGATGGTTAGATCCTGTGAATCCTCGAGCTGCCATTGATAACACGAAGCGCAGACGATATTTAAAATCAGATGAAAGCTGAATTGTTGCATACTTTCAGGGGCAGCAATTGCAAGTAATTCATGTATGTATTGCCACACTCATATTTCATACCAAGATTTGACTTGATTTAACCAAATCTTTAAGACATGTTTCATTGGCATATCGCGTGTCATTTAACTCCGAATTTGAAATAATAAACCAAAGCGATCAAGACTATCTATTGGCAATTGAAAAAAGGCAGGCTTTATAAAATATGTGTTAAAAATGAATTAAATTTCTTTCCATTGCTGATCCGCTTGATGGCCTACATAGATGACTACGCTCTGGTTAAATGGCTTTCTTTCATTTTTTTTCGAACTTTACAATCCGCACTGCATTGCCTACATTTGGGCGTAACGTGGTTTGCTGGTTTTTTTTCTCAGTGTAGCAATAACGCAAATTGCTTGTGCATAGATTAAGATTTATTCAGATTGCGAATTTTGAATGGGTCTGTAGACAATAACAGCAACATGTATGAAGGCTTTAGTCTAGTTAGGCGATACCCTGCCAAGGATATGTACATCTATATGAATATCCAAGCAAACATTTGGATACTCAAAAAGATTTGTAAGCATAAAATGTGATAGAAACAAAACACATTTGTAGTCATTAGTTTCAATAGTAAAAGATCTGTCTGACTGTTCTTAATAATGAGGAGTATATATATTTTTAAATATATGTATATAGACCTTAACAAATGAGGAATGCCAATATACCCGATTACGAATGGCTACTGAGTACAGTGTAAAGAGAGAATACGAAATGTTCGCAATATTACATTTCTCTGCATTTACTCTGTATTTTGTCGAATGTTGTGGCTGTATCTGTTGCTGTGCTTTTAGCTGTATCTGGAGGGGGCAAAACGGGCCTAAGCTAAAAGTTTAGTTTTGGGTACTCGTTGATACCAAATTAAAAGAAAAACAAACTCATTCAAAAAGACACCCTTTAAATGGTTGAAAAATACAAATTGCACACAAAATGCATATATGCATACAAAAATGAAAATATCTTTCTTTGCTTGTAATTCTCAAGTGGTTAAAGATTCGTATGTGCATTTGGCGTTGGTAGAGGAGGGTCCAGGGTATCCCCTAGTCGGGAACTCTCGGCTAGGGCCTCTTACTTATTTTAATGTATTTTATTTACAGCTGCTCGATCTATTGAAAATATTGCCAGCCATCAATATATTTTACGAGCTTTCTTTGTTAATGAATTCTTAAAGGCAGATGAAAAGTTGCACTCAAAGTGCTTGTGCCACGATAAGATGGCACATAGGGTATCTGCCTGTCGTGGTTGTGCATGACTTTTGGTGGTGGTCTTTAAAATGCACACAGCATGACACGCCCACATATCCACATAGAGAAAGACCTGCACGTATCCTATCCATGACACATCGTTCGCCTGCCCCACGGCGCTAACTCGACGCAAAGCTGTCTCAGCTGGCTGCTGCTGTTTTTAATGCCACGCACACACACACACACACACACACTAACACTCACTAACACACACTTACACACATACGGACACACTGATGCGAGTATATGCAGACATATGTACATATTTTGCATATGATTACGATTTGGTTTTGAGTTTTGAATCTGAAATCCGTGTCGAAGCTTTTATTTTTGCCCGCGTGAAGCTCAACGATTTGGCTGATTAACATATGCGACAGCCGCGAGACATTTCTCTCTCACTCTCCCTCTCTCCCTTAAAGGCATGTGTGTGTGTTCGTATTGCAAAGCTGTTTCAATTAAGCTCCAACCGCATTCGCAATCGCAGTTAGCTTCGTGGACATCACGTATACGCACGGTGGCCGCACGGCTTTATTTTTGTTTTTGTTTTCTTTGTATGCCCTTATAGAGGGTATTACAGTCGTGTCACACATAGAAGAAGGCATCATTGAGCCTCTGAAGTATAGATATATGTATATATATATTTCTGATCAGTATCAACAGCCGAGTCGATATAGCCTTGTCCGTCTGCAGAGTCTTGTAATAAAACTTTGCATAGATCTGAAATGTCAGAATTGGCCAGATCGAATTACTATATTATTTAGCTGACATAGGATAGATCGGTCAAAAATTAGTATCTGAAATTTTTTTGTTCTTCCACATATTTCCACATTTGGGGCATTTTCTGGCTGTGTCCTGCTCCTTGCGAGTTAGCAAAATATAATTAAAATTAGCTTACTATATCATATCTTGATATATACACCATGTATATCATATATATGTACTATATCATATATATATATATATTATATCCTATAGAGTTATAGTAGCAATCCGTTGAATAATGAGTTATTGCATGGACAACTTTTCAGTTGCAAGTTTTTTTTTTGATTGCAAGTTTTAAACTTCTACTTGAAAGCCTTATTCAAAAAACCCTTTCTACAAGTGCATTGAATATTCGGTGTGCCGTTCTTTTATTTTTGTTGATTTTTTTGTGAGTTCGGTTTGGTTAGTCGACTTATCGACTGGGCGACGCATTTATGTTGTCCTGGTCCTGTGTGACTTTTAGGTCGAGCGAGCGGCAGCTGCTTCTGTTTCAAATGAAGTGTTACAAATGGACATTAGGGCCGCCTGCGTGCGTGTGTGTGTGTGTGTGTGTACATATACATAGGTGCGAGATAGGTTTGGGTGAAATGCGATTTTATGCTTGATAAACTACAATAACAACAAAAGCAACTGCCAAAGGCAAAGGGCCGTAAAAGAAACAAAAACAAAAACACGCTAGTGGCCGCAAAGGTGGGCAGAAAAAGCCAGTTTAGGCCTGGCCCGGTGCGGCGAGCGAGCGAGGCCAGTTGGCAACATTTTTGGGCAGTTGGCAACTTGGCCATTTAAGTTAAGTTCGAGCCGAGTTGAGTTGAGTTGAGTTGAGTTCAGTTCGGCTTTGGCTTAGCTCAGCGAAGCAGAAATATGGACAAATGTGCAAATATGTTGCCCACCTTATGCTTGGCCACACCCACACATTTAGGCATAGGCCGCCCCCAAAGCCTTTTACATTCTCTTAACTCTTTTTATTTTTGGTGTTTTTTGTTTTTTTTGTTTTGCTTTGCTTTGACCGTGTGTTGCCTTTGCGCTTTGCACCTTTGTTTGTGCACGTCCTGCGGCAAAGGCAGCGTCAAACGTGGTCCTAGTTTTATTTCTTCTTCCTCCAATAGCCAGAAGGCGGGTGGGGCGGGCTGTGCTAAGGTGGGCGCTGGCAGGCGTGGCTGTTGGGCTCTTAGGTTAAACAATGAAATTTCCACTTCATCTGTTTTTATGCTGCTCTGCATAATTAAATTTTGCACTTTCAATTCGCCGGATTTGACTTAAGTTTTATTATTTCTGTTTTGGCACGCATTTCTTTTATTTTTTATATTTATTTGTTTTTTTCTTCAGTTTGTTGGATTTTACTCGCTGCTTTTCCATTTATTCGCTGTGCATAACTGTGCACTTTTCTCTCGCAATTGGTTGGCGTCTCGCATCTCACAAAAGTTTTCGATTTCGCGTGGTTTTTTTTTTGTTTTTGTTTTTTACCTAGTTCTAATTGGTGGAAGGGGGTAAGGGGCAGGGTTGTCGCTACTTGACCTTTTCTGTGGCTAATGCGATTTTATTGCATACTTTTGTGTGTCGCCGAACAGCGACAACAACAACAACAACAACTATAGAAATGTCATCAGCTGCAGACAGAAGGGAGTTGAACCCGTGAAAGCTCTTGAACATCCTTCAGTACATTTGCATTGGACTTACACTTTGTTGTTGCCATTGATATGGACTTAAAAAGATTTCCCAACCAACTGATTTAGTTCGGAAAAGTGGCTTTCCCCATAGAAAAGTGCTTGAACCGTTAAACGGTGATTTATATTGCAAGGCGATTATTATGAAAGAGATTTTATCGATAGCATTGAAAGACTTCTGAATTTATGAACTTATTAGGACGGTTAACGGTTACGAATGCTACAATTGACGAAACCCTTTCGATACTTCGATACTATCGACTTCAACTAACACATAAATGCGCAGTTAAACTATCGATAACACACCGCTCACTGTTATCTATCATCAATTGTTTATGTAGCTATCGTTAATTTCAATATTAAAGCAGTAAAGTTATCGACACCGATAGCTTACGACTTATCGTAAATGTCTATCGATAGTATTGATAATCTTTTTGCTCCTTTCTATTTCTACTTGTTTTTCGAAAACTTCGATATAACATTTTTACGATTTAGCTGGACTTACCCAAAAATGTTGAACATATATATTCGGAAATCTGATTTCCCGATCTGCTGGACTCGCTGAAGTGTGAGAGCTCCTTGTTGAGCATGCGTTTAAACTGCAAAATAGAAAAGGATCGTATTAGAATTAGTAGCGAAATCGATAAATATTTATCGATAAACGCACCTTAAGCGATGCCATGTCGGAGACACTGCGGTGCGTTTGTATGGTATCCAGTTGATCTAAACACCAATCCAACTCCTCAATGGTATCGGTGGCTAGGCGTGTGTAGGCCTCATCGCCCTGTGCTAGTAGGACACCGCCAGCATTTCCGCCACGTCCGGATGATGATTGAGCTGGCCGCCTGGATCTTGTTTGATTAATACATGATTTTCACACGCACAGACGCACGCACACACACGCACAGAAACAGTGAGACGGAGTGGGAGTAACAGATAGAAGAGAGGGAGGAGATGATAGAGTGTGGGAGAGATAGAGAGATAGGTGGAGTAGGAGAATAGCGTGGGAATAATTGTGAATTTGGGAGAAACAAGAACGGGTACAGGTATGGGTGCGGGTACGGGTACGGGTGCGGGTACGGGTACATGTACAAGAACAACAACAAACAAGAGAACAAACAAAATTCGAAAAAAAAATAAACAAGAAATTAGAAATGATAAACGATCAAAAAGAATGAGAAAAAACGGAGAACATTGACAAAATATATTGGAATATGCAAAAGGTCACGGAATTATGGGTGTACAGGCAGTTGGAATGTGGGGTTAAAGGGGGCAAGGGGAGTTACACAGAGTTTTAACAGAGTTTTTTTTGTTGTTGTTTTTTTTTTTTACAACCACACACAGCAAGAAATACACGTGTTTACAACATTGAGAATTAGAAATGTTTGCATTAAAACAACAACAACGAGTAAATGTCGTTTTTGGCGAGCGAGCGAGACACAAATAAGAATATAAGTATAAGTATATATATATATATATATATATGCACACATATATATATAGAGCAATAGACAAAGAAACAGAGAGAGAGAGAGAGAGAGAGAGAGAGAGAAAGAGAGAAAAAAATATGAACAAAATTTAATTGAAGAATCTGTGGTTTTCTGTACAACATTGAAAAAAAATTATTGATTAGCTTATATTTAATTTGCATACTCATGGACTTATGTGGCTTAACGGGGGGGTGGGGGGATTTTACGAGGGGTTAACAATTTTCGGGATTTAATTGGTATTTATTTTTTTCATTCAAACACATCTAGATGGTTAGATATTGGTGCCAATAACAACAACAACAACAACAACAACAATGGGAGCATCAAAATATAGAGAGACATTCTTCCAAGCAACAACATTGAACGCTTCACTCGGCCTTACCCCGCCTCACCCCCGCCACGCCCCGTTCGGTCTGTTGCCTGCCCAGTTCAATAGAACTGAAAATGTTCTAAATTTGAGTTCCGTCATATTCGATGGAAAAATTATAAATAAATTGTACGATACGGTTTTTTATTTGCGGTATTTTTGGCACGTCAACACGGTGCCACACAAACCGTTGTCCCGACACCTCATTCATTCTACCTCTCAGCCCCGCTCCGCCCCTCCCCTCCCCGCCCCACCCCACGCATCCGCCTCTTGCCCCACCCGCCCTTTGAGTACTGTAGGCTGATTTCTTCGCATCATTGTCGTCATTTCTCTTTAAGTGGGTCTTTATTCATCTGTGTTTGTCCGTGTCAGTGTGCGTGTGTGTGTGTGTAAGTGTGGTGCGGCTGGGTGTTGGTGGGAATTACAAATACACACACACACGCACACACACTAACATGCATAGACATACATGTGTAGACAAAATAATTGTTAGTCGGAAGAATATATGAATGCCTTATGCCTTTGTTGTTGTTCAAGTTCTTGTTATTGTTATTTGTAGTTGCCACTTGATTAATTAAAGTGTGAGATGACAATAAGATATTGAGCGAGATAAAGAGAGAGAGAGAGCACACACAGAGAGCGAGCGAGAGGGACATCGACAGGCAGCAAGACAAGGAGAGTCAGATAGGGCCAGACAGACAGCTATATAAGAGCAAGAGAGTCAGGGAGAGGTAAGGCTGAAGAGTGGGCTGGGTTGTGGAAATCTCATCTTAGCTGGTTTGTCACGGATCGCGGTGGTCATGATTGAATGGTATAGTGGGCGTGTCAAGTTCACAATCGACTTACTTGTTTGATGCTGGTACATTTGTCAGACTTAATAAATTGTTGCGCACTGAACGTAAGCTGGCTAAAATTTGGGCAAACGGCGTTACAATGAGATCCTCGCCATGGCTGTAAAAGAGAGAAAGAGAGAGAGAGAGAAAAATATATTAGAGAGAGTAGTTTACAATTCACACAAGCACATAAAACACTTTAACACACAGGCATGCAAAATATGAAATGAGCGCATGGAGTAAGCGATAAGTGAGGCTATGGAACCGAAGAGAGTGATCTTGCCCGGCTATCACACTCCTGGTGGCACAACCATACAGTAGCGAGTACCGCGAAAAGTGACTACATGAGATATTAAAGGTAGAAGTAGCAAGTATTACGAGGATCGATTAGCAGACGTAGTGAGTAACAAAAGTAGCGAGTAACAGATGAAGCGAGTAACAGAAACAGCAAGTAACAGATGTAGCGAGTAACAGAAGTAGCGAGCAACAGGAGTTGCGAGTATCAGAAGTAGAGAGTAACAGATGTAGCGAGTAACAGAAGAAGAGAGTAGTAGAGGTACCGAGTAACACAAGTAGCGGGTTAAGATATAGAGAGTAACAGATGTAACGACTATTACATAAAGCGAGTAATAGATGAAGCGAGTAACAGAAGTACCGAGTAACAGGCGTAGCGAATAGCAGATGTAGCGAGTAATAGAAGTAGCGATTAAAACAGGTGTAGTGAGTAACAAGAGAAGCAACAGATGCTGCAAGAAACAGTGAAAGCGAGTAATAAATGTAGCGAGCAATAAAAGCAGCAACTAACAGAAGAAGCGAGAAGCAGATGTGGCGAAAACCAGAAATAGCGAGTAATTGATATAGCGTGTATCAAAAGAAGAGAGTAATAGAAGCAAAGATTAGCATAAGTAGCGGGTTACAACTATAACTAATACCTAAAGTATCGAGAATCAATAGTAGGGAGTACTAATAGTACCGAATAACAAAAGAGTAGCGAATTGATTAATTAGAGAACGAAAAACGTTCTATCATGTTGCGGTTTGCGCACGAATTGGTTAGCTCAAAGCCTATAAGCTGCCGGCCAAAACTATCGAATGATTACCATGTAGTGCAATTTTCGACATGAGTGTGTACATATATTGAAAATAGATTCATAAGTGCTGGTATTGAGTGACCCTTTCCCCCGAATTGAAACCATGAATGGCAACACAGAATTCAGCACAGCTTCAATTAGACGATGAAGTTTTTGGTTTCCATATCCATACGCAATTTTTATTATATTTTTACATTCAAATTTTCTAGCTGATTTAAATCGAAATGCCTGTGTGCCTAAACCAATTGGCTGGCAAATCAACTGGAATACTCCCAGAGGCCTCAACGCCCAAAGCCTTATATGATATGACAACCTGTCCCCAAAGCGGGCGCCTGCCCAGGTGGCGGACAGTTGTTGGCCAACCGCAAAAGGTCAGCGGCAGGCATTGCCACGAATAGACTTGCCCCCCTCAAATACAAAAAAAATATATGTATATATGAAAGGCAGGCAAAGGAAAGCGGTGAATTATGGAATATAGGACGTTCAAGTTTTTTGCACCGACCAACTGGATGCAGGTTGCCTCGAAATTTCCACACAGTTATGCGGAACAAAAAGCGGCGCGCACAATTTGTGAAAACGTTTCTCGCCGCACACGAGCCACTTGGCTTGAAATATTTGTGCCGAAAATAAATATTAAATGGGTAAAAAAAAAGGAAAAATTAAAAAAAACGCACACGCATATAAGTATATATATGTATATGTATATGTAAGCAAGGAGACGGGCACGAAGACTTTGTCGTTGACAAACAAAAAATGGCATAAATTAATATTAATAAAATAAAATTAAAGAAAAAAAAGGCAAGAAAAACAACAAATAAATAAAACAAACAAAAATAAAGTTTTCGACCCATCTGTGACGTCACGAAGCGACGCCGTTGGCGGCGCTAAAATTGATATTCACATTTTTTTCCTTTCTTTCTTTTTAATTTTTATATTTTATTCATACCCTGTATTCACATAATTTTCTTAAAAAGCGGTGTTTACAAGTTGTTCAAGGACCCAACTCTGTGTCTTGAAGGTCAACCTTATCTACCATTAACTAGTATATTCGTCTCCTTGACTAGAGAGCACGTATATTAGATAGGTATTTTATATATATGTATATACAGTTTATAACTTCTATAAATCTTTCCAAAGTTAACTATGAGTTGTTTACTGTGATTTTCTCTGTATTTGTATACGTGCCAACAAGGACTACAACGTCCATACCCTAGACTAGACCCTCTGGCCTTCTGGAAGTCGAACTACGGCTCAACCAATCAATATACCAACTTTTCAAAGACTAAGCACTTAACCTGCTGCCGAAGACTTTTAACCCCGCACTATCATGTCAATAGATCAAAATCAAAATATATTATATTATATAGCAGAGAAAGCAAGAGTTTATATGCAGTTACATATAAGAACATCTTCAAATTATAAATGTTTGCCATAAATGTTAAAACTTGGTACAAGGTAACTCCAAGTCTTGCAATTTCGACTAGAGCATTGCTATTTCTATGCCCTGCACTCATCGAAAATGGGTAAAGAAAGGTCATGCCTTTGTGCAAATGTCTGGCATATATATTCTTGAGTCCGTCTATATTGCGGCATCGATCTTGGCAACGACATATACATACGTTATCTTCTTTTTATCTCGCTCCAATTTGACAATACCGATTAAAATCGATTTGGAGGCTTGATTTTTTAAGCATAACTCAAAAGCTATAAAAGCTAGCTGCACCAAATTTGATATACATATGCATATCCAGCCCACATTTCCTTCAATGCTGAAGACTCTCATTATTTTAAATCTCAAATAGATCGGACTGTAAACGCCGATGCTCTTCACGTTATTTCCATAATGTGGCGCAACGTGAAGAGGCTCTGAGAAGGGAGCAAGAATGTTTTTAGTGGCAGCTAGATAGACGCGAAGCAGAGTATCTATCAGTGGGGCACGCCCGGCTAGAGCAATCTTGTTAATTTTATAGTGTACGTACGCGTACACACGTACGCACATTTCTGGGCCGTTCAGCCTTAAAGCCAATTGGCTGGCAATGAAAATGGTTGGAAAACTGAAATTTTCATAAGAGATTTGGCGACTGTTGAAAAATGTTCAATGAAAATGCCGCGAAGCGACGCCTTTTAAAAGAGACGGACAGATGCATATACATATATGTATATGTATATATAGAAAGAGAGACAGCGAGAGAGAGAGAGAGAGAGAGAGATGGGAACAGTGACAACGATATACGATTAATGATGCCAACTCATTTACAGGCAGGCTGCCAGCCCCTCCACCCGCAAAGCTCCCAATCGCTGTGCCTTGTGGTATGTTTGCCTGATTTTTGGCACGTCGCTCTGATGCAAGTGTGTGTGTGTGTCGCAACAATTGTACAAATACGATGTTGTATATGCTCATCCATCCATTTGTCCATCCAAAGTGCCAACCATAAATAACAACAAGCGGCAAACGCAGGCCAAATGCAACCACATTCACCTCCAATACCAGACCTAGAACCAGTTCCAGTCATAGTCACAGTCACAGTCACAGTCACAGTCACAGTCACAGTCACAGTCACAGTCACAGTCACAGTCCCAGTCCCAGCCCCAAATCCCAATCCCAATCCCAGTCTTCACCTGTGTGTACATTTTTCAGCGGCAGCTCCACCTTCAGTTTGAACTCTTCACTTTTGGCCCCATCTTGTTGCCAGACTTTGCCACTTTGCAGCCAGACAAAATGTTTTCGTTAGCGATTTGTCATTTTAAATCATGTCTCTACTCAGCTCGTATTCTCAATTTCTCATTTTCACATTTTCTCGTTTTTTCTGTTCTCTGCCGTTTATTAGACCGTTTCTAGTTCGTTATTCGATTATGAATACTGCGACGCATTTCGCCGCCAGATTCAAAAACATGTTCATGACTCACACGTCGCGTTTCGTATTTAGTTTCAGAATAAAGGCTCATCAAATCTGATATTTCAAATGCATTCCGAATCATTTGCAGCTTTATTTTGTTAATACTATAAGAAAATATCATATCGAAAGCAATGTATGCCAAATGTAGGCTAGTATTAACCCAAATTCAGATTGTAAAAGTGTTTTCCATGAGAACTTAAGCCTAGACGCCCATTTTGGGGGCATGGCTAGTTCGACGGGAATTACATTTAAATAAAAAAAAAATATATTTAAATAACATATAAATATATATTAATTTAAATATATTAAATATGCTGCCTTATGTTTGAAATAATGATTTGAGTTGTATTTAAGTATATTAAAACTATAATATATCTTCATAAATATAAACGAGAAAGTACGCCGAAGATTTAATACCCTTCAAACCAGATATGTAATAATAGTGAAGCTCACAAACGCTAAGTTTGAGGGAAATATATTGCAAAACCGAAAACTTTGCCAAACAAGAAACTATCTTTTCATAGATCGTGCCTATTTTATAGAAGTCCGATGTTTATAAGATTTTGCATGCATGTAGAAAGCATGGTGAAAATTATAAATGCCAAGTTTGGTTAAAATATATAGAAAAACCAAAGAGTTTTTCATACTAGAACCTACTCTCCGACCGATCGTTGCTATATGCTATATGATAATGTGGTTCGATCCGGCCGGTTCCAACACATGTACTGCCTCCAACAGAAGGATGGTCCTATGCAAAGATTCAAGACGATAGCTTTAGGTCTGAAAGACTAGTTCGCATAGACACAGACAGACGGGAAGAGGGACGGACGGACGCATGGAAGGATGGACGGATTGATGGACTGATGGACGGACTGACGGACATGGCTAAATCAACTCGTCAGTTGATGCTGATTTAGAATATACATATATGATTTATGGAATCGAAGATGTCTCCTTTTATGCGTTACACATTTCATGACAGAACTATAATACGCTCCACAAGGGTAGACAAAATGTAAAATGTCTCTAAACATTGATATGTGTTTCTTACTTTCTTAACAAATTTTCAATGTATCAATGAAAGCATATAAAATTCAAAAGAAATTTCCCTTTCATCATTTTATGGGTTAT